GACATGAAGATGGATATGTGGCGCCCCGAGTGGAGCAAGGTAGGTGACTGGAAGCTGCCGTTCGCCGGACCCGCCATGTACGCCGAGGAGCTCGACCTCTGGTTCGGCCAGTCGTTAACAGAGGAACTGGAGTGGATTCTCTGCGCAGCCGACCTTGTGCCTGGCCCAGACCAACCGCCGGTAGTGGCCCATGAGTGGGAGACCTTCCGAGTGCCCAAGGGCACAGGTCGCTACGAGACCCGTTCCTCGTGCACCTAGGCACCGCCGGCCGATTTTGCATCGCCAAATTCACAAGTAACGCAAGACGTCAGAATTCGGTCGTGCTCACCGGCGTGGAGGTCACGCGCTACGGCGACGGCAAAGCTGATCTCCGACTCATCAAGCATAAGACGTATTATTACGTAGGACTAGGTGAAGATGACCCTATGTGTGTACTTTAGTTTTTTAGTTTTAATAATAATAATAATCTCTCCCTAATAATAAAGCACGGATTGGGTCTTCGGATTCACCGTTACGGCATTTTTATACAATAGTCCTTATACTTTTTGATAATGAACCCGCAGTTCTATTAATCTGGTACCCACAAAAAAACGGTTCGTTGAAAAAGAAAACGTACGCATCTGCCTCCTCCTCGACCCTGGTATGTGCCCAAGCCTCCCACGCCGCCGCCACCGCACGTCATCCCGCTCGCCGCCACCGCACGTCAGCTCGCTCACTGCCCACGCCCGCCGCGGCCGCACCTCAGCCCGCTCGCCCCCCATGCCGGCGCGGCCGCTCGCCATTCCCCGCCGCAACCCAGCCACCTCTGTCGCTGCTGCTAGCCGATGCGCCACAATATAACTTTTTGCGATGCACTCCTACCTGTAGCCCATCTCAAACCATCGAAACAGTCCAAGGATATTGCAACAGCTGCCGGCTGCGATAAAACCAAGCCACTGTTCGTGCATATCCCACTCTCTCTAATACTACATGGATTTATACAATGGCAGAAGTACTATTCTGATTCTTTAATTTTGGGACGCTCTGTTCATGAGCTTGTGTCCACATAGTGTTTGATTTTATGCATATGAAGGAATGTACTACATTTTTTCTGGTTTCCCTTTGGTGTATGTTTGATTATATATGTTTCGGTTGACAGTTGTTATTGCCTCTGATTTGTCTTCTGGTTACTTCGTTCATGTTTTCAGTTGTAGTGACATCCGGTTCAAAGTTGCTATAGGGGTTGTCTGGGTACGTTTCAGTTTTTAGCAAACGGATTTTAGGAGAAATTATATGAAAACGAGCTTCAGTAAACTTATTGTAAATCTTTGTTTGGATAGAATTTTCTTTTTGCAAAACCATGTTTGGGTTAGATCCATTGATCAGAATGAATTGGATAAGAGACTCAGCCCTCACTGCAGTCTCGGGAGGCAAACACAAGAGCACTCACCCAGCAAGACCTGGAAGCCGTGCATGGCCTTCCTCCAAGCTTAGCTGCCTCCCGAAGCTCAACATGTCATGCTGCTTCAACAAATCGTCCCAGCCTCCGTTCAAAGTTCACTTTGCTACTGCTAATGGGAAGCATTCAGCCCTCCTGCACTCGCATGGTGTTGTTTGCGCTCGACGCGTGCATCGTCAACGACACCGGAGGAGTCTGCAGCGCCGGCCCTGCGGGCGCCGGCTCTCCGAAGCACTGTCCCATCGAGTGGCGCTATCTTCCGTGGGTGCATGCCATGCCGCAAGGTGGACCACGCCGTGTGCATCGCATGGCGGAGAAGCGCATTGCAGCTAATCTACGGCGCCACGAGGAGCTATTGGCTGCTGTAGCAGTGTCACACTAGAGCAAGAGGTTGGACACTAATGATTCTGAGGTACTGTTGTGACCTGCTGTATCGGTTTACACACGACCGCATGTCTAATCTGTTCACGGACATCCTTGCAGAGGACATGCACAAGCTCGCTGACGGCAATGCAGCAAAGTGGTGTTTGTCATACGAAGGCTCCATCCTGCAGTAGGGGTGCTCCGAATGACAAAGGCAACAAGCTATATGGGCATGTGTGCAGTTAAAGAGTAGAGGCGTAGGATTATAGCTAAACAAGTATTCCCTCTTATATTTCAGTTTTTTTCAAACATATGTTGAGATCTATTGCTCAATGAGAAAGGTAGAACCAGTGTAAGATTTTGAGCTGCAATATTAGAAAGGTGAAATTTCATTTAGTCCTAAAAAAATATTGACTGTTCTTTCACAGGACAATCTACCCGCAAATGCATCAACATTCATATGAGGAACAAATGCACTGGCATATCATGTGCAGGGGAAGACATGCGGTATTATGGCAGTTCTTTTTATTTGTTTCTTTCAATGTTGGATAATGTCTACACCACTTATTCATAATTGGTACAGGTAACTTCAGCACATATCACAATGGATGGCAAGTATATGTATAAGCTGAGATTGTTTCCAATCTGTTGTAAATGCGTTGCTATTTGTTTAGTCAGTCTAATTTTCTAACCATTGTAAAAATGCTCAGTTTCCTAGCTCAAATGATGTTGAAGCTGAAAAGCAACAACAGGTAGGATGCATGGTCTGAATTTTTGCACCGAGATTTAAATGAATCACAACTCATATGATGCACAATGTTACTGAAAATCTAGGAGCCTATGATCAAACTTAGTTTATGACTTAGGAGGACCAGAATAAATATCACATATCCTGAACCGGCGTCCCAAAGAACCATACTCTCAATAGGTATGTCGTTTTTGTCATCAGCAGCCTTCCATTTTTGTCATCAGCAACCCGTTATTTTTCTCCCGTTGCAACGCACGGGCATTTGTGCTAGTAATAGTAATAATAATAGTAGTAGTAGTAGTAGTAATAGTGTTTTGCACTCCCCTAAAAAAAAGTGTTTTGCACTATCAAATAAGTTCGGTACCGTGTTTGTTAGCCACATCAGCATGTCTCGGCGTTTATTTGCAAAAAAAAACATGTGTTGGCGTTTTGTAATGTCTAAGGTGGGCATGCAGAAAGTGTTGTTACAGTGTGTGCAGTGTCGATTAATTAGCCATTTGCGGTCTTTCGCAACAAAAAAAAAATCCATTGTCGGTCAAGTCAACATGTTCTCTCTACCAGAATGAACGAGTTTGCAGATCGTCGAGTAGTTCGCTGACTCTATTTTATCGGGCGCTGGACACATACATAATTTAAAGAGTCTTTATCCTCAAAAGGAAAAAATGGCAGAGTCTTTGAGAGAAACACTTGGCAAAACAGTGACACCGGTAATTTGTCTAGTGTGTTTTCTTTTGGTATAGAACAATCGGCAAACAAACAAAAAACCAATGGGTTACATGCGTACATTTGTATGGCCTCCGATTTCCGCGCGCTCGGACGTCGGCGGCCTCCGAACGTCGGTGGGTGGTCGGCAAAAAGGATGTGGGCTTTGTGAGCAGGGAACCGGTGGTTTAACGGCGACCACGACGGCGTGTGTGAGTTTCGGCCGCCAAACAAGATGAAAGAATGATGAGACCATGGAAGGAGAAGTAAATTGCAGAAAACCACCAGTTTGAGGGCTAGATTAGCAGAAATCACTACGTTACAGTTTCTTGGCAAAAAACACCAACTCTCCCGTAAACAATTTGCAAATACCACTGATCGGTGGATCGGACACCGATAAGTGGATTTATGACAGGTGGGGCCCGGTTTTTGCGACGTGGCGCTGTCAGCTGGTCCGACAGCCGTTAGACGCCGTTAGACGGCGCCGTTCGTTCTGTTTCCTCTTATCCCCCGTTTCCCCCCGTCTTCTTCCCCCATTTCCCCCTTCTTCTCCCCTGTTCCCGGTCGTGCGGCGCACCGTCCCCGCCTCCCGTCGTAGCCATGAGTCCGGCGAAGTCGAGCGATGCTGGCAGCGGCGCCCAGCCGTCCACTGGCGAGATGTGCGGGAGCTCGAACCCTACGAAGGCGACGGCAGAAGAAGAGGAGGAGGAGGACCCGCAGTACTCGGTGGAATTCAGGGCAGCCAGATCTTTCGCCGCGGCGGTGAAGGCAAATCCAGTTGGAAGCCATCACATTGCTTCAGCTTTCGGCGGCGTCTAGTGAGATCCCAGTCTCATTCCCCTCCCCAATCACATTCCCCTTCTGTTGCGTTAGGGTTAATGTAGTTCTAGGGTTTGTGTGTGTTATAGTTCTGTAATTAGAATGATATAGTTCTTTAATTAGATGCTTACAACTAGGGTTTCTGTAAATAAAAGGATATGAATTGTTGCACTCAAATGACGTTCTGCTCTGGTCTGCACTAGCTTGCTTCAGTTTCCCTTAAGTACTTATAGTGCACTATTGTATTATTATTTGCAGTCTTGAAGATGAGGTTTGGGAATTAAGGATGCATTTTCATGATAGAGATAATATTGAAAGGAGTATGATGATGTCAGACATCACATATTACAATTTGATAGCACTGATGGAGAACTGTGTCTATTGATGATGACATGTTACATATTGATGAGAGACAATCGATAGTATTGAAAACTGTGTCTATTGATGATGACAGGTTACATATTTATAGTCTCCGAAGAGACGCATTCGGAGGGACACGACGCTTACAAAAGTCGCGTCTATTTATATGACGGTCAGGATAAGTGGAGATTTAATCCTTAATTAACTTAATTAAGTCTTAACAATAAGCTAGACTTACGTGCACCACCAGAGCGCGCGCATGCATGCAGTTGCGCTACAATGGAAACGGCAGTGCAAGCTTTACTCATCCCTTTCCGTGCACGCCATTGTATATATCTTTTGTCGTGTTAATAACGACTTTGCTTTTGAGTGGTTATCGTGTTGTTAATCGGCGCTCCGTTCCTGGCGAGGCGTGGTTCCAGTGAAGCTGAAACGTATGTATGTACGCAATGCACGGCGTGATGCCGGCGGGGTGGGCTGCGCGAGACCCGCTATTAAACCCCATCGTCTTGCACACATTCGGCATCCACCTCCCAGTGCATCCACCTCCGTTCAACTGTGGCAGAGGCCATGGCAGCGGCGGCAGCGGGTGAGAGCACCAGGTTAATTGGGGTGAGGAAGAAGGGGGAGGACAAGTTCGGTGCGGCGATCATGCACCCGGTGACCAAGACGTTCCTGTGGCTAGGGACGTACTCGTTGCCCGAGGTCGCTGCGTGCGCCTATGACCTCGCAGCTAGGGAGCTCAAGGGCGCAAAGGCAAAGCTCAACTTCTCTTACGCTCCGCCGGCCAGACTGGTTAAGGAGGTGATTACTGCACCGAGGCACCGCAGCCACGGTCACGAAGCACCGCTCTTTCAGGTCGTTACATTGCCACCAGACCCCACATCACCGCCTCCACCACCGCCTAAGCTCGTGGTTTACTTTCCCTTCCCCATAGAAGTGCCCGCCAGCAACCCCCCGCCAGTGCCAACATACCCGTTCCTGCACATGCCGCGTCCGGCACGAGCACGGCTCAGCCCGCAACCAGCGCACGCGCCCGCTCCAAAGACACAGCCGCCGATCCAACGGATGAACGTCATGGTGCAGGCGGAAAGCTGCTTAAGCTCCTCAAGGAAAACCCTAGGGGCTTCTTCGTCGCGCCGCCTGGTGTTCAAGAAACCCAAGCTGGTCGTAGTTTCCGTTACCCTTAGTGCTCCTACAGAAGGAACGGGTGACAATTTCACCAAGCCGTGGTATTGCCCTTATTTTCCTGTTGTTTAGCCTCGGCCGGGTGAACTATGCACCAAGATCTCATAGTCGTGTGCCATCATGATCCATGGGGGATCTCAATCACCTATCATATAAGTTTTTCATTACAACAAGTTGTATTTTCATTAATGTATTAAGTGTGTCGTACCATATAATATGTTTACTGTCATGTTTGTTTTTACCAATCATATGTAATCAGGTAATCTATGTTGTTTGTTTCATCAACCTTCTCTTGTGTGTGTTTTTTTTTGCGAGTACACTCTTTGTCTTATGTTACCATCACCTGTTTTGAGTACAAATTATATATTAATTTAATCCATTAGTTAATTAATATATAGTTCAGTTTGTCTTTAAGATTATTGTTTTGAGGTGAAGAGAGAATATGTTCGTCAAACACCGGTGCTGCTACCCTTTTTAATGGTGAAGAGAGAATATGTTCGTCAAACACTGGTGCTGCTACCCTTTTTAATGCAAAGCAAAGAAGCACGAAATACTGTGTATGGAAATTTCAGGAAAAAAAACAATGTAATCCCCGACTTCTCTACCATATCATGCAGACTCGTTAGCAACCAAGTAAGTTTCTATAGATCTTCTGCTCCCGGACCACCACATGAGAAGTTGGATTGTGTTAAGAGTCTGAGAAATAATCTCTATGTAATCTTAACTATCTCAATCTCTTCTATCCCGTATCTGTTTCTATCTCCTTGTAATAGCTGGATTCCAAATCCATCTCTTGTACTTCACGGGTCACAGCAAGGTTCTGCCTCAATAAAATAAACGCCAGCGGCTCTCCCTCGAGGAGCGTAGGAACGCTTCATCGATTCTAATATGGTACGAGAAGCTATTGCGCGCTTTTGCAGCTCCGTCCCTCTCTTCTTGGGTCTAATTATCCGTGGATGTAAATTGGTCGCTAGGTTGCGGACAATAGTTATGCTAGACTCGGTGTTTCTTCTTGCAATGGTTTTTGTTGGAGTTACAGTTTGGACGCGAGAAGAAAGACAATGTTAGTTACATACGACACGTAATTTCAATGAAATTCACACAAACGTCGACCACCAAGACAATTGACCATGCCACCCCATCCACCCCCTCCCTTCCCCACCTTGGCAGCGCATAATGTACCAACACCGGGTTGCTTCTGGATTCTTATAG